ACACAACAGAACAACTACACAAGACAACACAACACACTAAGTAAACCCTCCACACTAAACGTCACAAATCTCCCACATCTAAAAACTCTCTCTCTCTCTCACTCTCTCGCTCTGTCTCGCTGCCGTTACCGTCATTCCTAAAACATTTCCCTCTTCCTAAACAATCAAATCCCACATGTTGACCGTTTTTTTTTATTGGTCGACATGGTACATTTTTCCACCGATAGGAAAGAGGTGGCTCAGGAGAACCCAGCCATCAGTTTGCTGTGACAGCTGGAGGCTCAGCTAAGCCCGCCCAGCATCCTGCTCCATCAGCTGAATCCATACAGCCATCACCTGTCTCCACTGGGAGCTCCAGAGAGCCCTCACAGCCACCTGGGTTTCCCACATCAGCTGGAGGCGTAGCCCAGCATGTCCTGCATCCTGTCACGCTACCACCTACAAAACCACCTGCAGCTGCTACGCCACCAGCTCAACTGCCTGCATCTGCCATGCCGTCATCTGCTCCACCGTCTGCCATTTCTACGCCCATGCCTGGTCCTGCCACACCTGGTCCCACATCGCCTGGTCCCACCATGCCTCAGCCTGAGGTCAATGCGTTGTTTGGACTAGCCACTGTCAGGCCTGCCCCTGCCAAGCCACGTCCAGCATGCCAAGCTGCCCGAGGGTCATCGCCTGTGCCCGCTTTGCCATCGCCACTTTCCCCATGTTCGGTCTCCGGACCTGCTTTGCCACAGTTGCTGCCGCTGGCCCCGCAGTCGGCCTCCTGATCTGCTCCATTGCAGCTGGCCCCGCGGTTGGCCTCTCGAACTGTTTCATTATAAACTCTGTCGGTCGGTCAGTTGACTGATGTAGTTGCGGTTGCTCTCATTGTGGTGTACTACACTGAAGCCAAAGTACTTGTACACCAAGAAACCTGGCCCTCAGATCACGGTCCACAGAGGCCTGACAGATTTTCCACTCGCACTTATTTTACACAGGGCCATTTGGAGAAAAAGGCCATGCAGGACGAGCTGGTTTACCTGGGCCATCTTGCATCAGTGGGCTATGGGCTTCATCTATGGGCTTAAAGGGAGAAAACGGTACGCACTTTAAAATGACTTTATAAGAAAGGAATATTTTATTATGCTATTTACTCATTGGCCACTTTATTATTTAGCTATGCAAACATAGTCAAGACAACCTGCTGAACTTCAAGCTGAGCATCAGAATGGGGAAAAAAATAATTAAGTGACTTTAAGCATGGCATGATTATTAGTGCCACATGTGCGAAATAACCACTTGTAACAACCAAGGTACGCAGAAGAGTTTCTCTGAGTTCACAACACATCAAACCTCGAAGCAGATGGTCTACAACAGCAGAAGACTATACTGGTAATCTGGGTTGGATCTCCTTTTGCCTTCAGAATTGTCCTTATTCTTCATGTCATAGATTCAACAATGTGCTTGAAACATTTCTCAGATATTTTGGTCCATGTTGACAAGACAGCCACAGACAGACACACAGTTGCTGCAGAAGTACTTAATGTCAGGTTCTAGAAACCAGTTTGGGAGGATTTGACTTTTGTGACATTATACATACATATATACATACATACATACATACGTATGTACATACGTACGTACGTCCGTACGGACGGTTTTTACACACCGGTTCTTTAGAAACAATGACAGTAAAACCTAGGGATGGACCGAGCCGATATACAGTATCGATATCGGTCTGACCCTGACCTAAATTACTAGATCGTATATCGGGGAGAAAAAAAAAAGTAATCCGATCCATTAAATATCACAAAAGCACCAGTGCTCAGTGTGGTGGTGTTGGAGGTGCTGTTACTGATCCGGACTGTCTGAGGTCTCTCTGTCAGAAAGTCCAGGATCCAGTTGCAGAGGGAGGTGTTCAGGCCCAGCAGGCCTAGTTTTCCAATCAAGTGCTGAGGAATGATTGTGCATGATTGTGGATGGAGACGCTCAGAGACTGGAATGGAGCGCATGCCGGCAGTGAGGACGACAGCATCTTCTCTGGATTTCTGCTTTACTCAGACAAGCCGTGATGCACACTTTGTGCTTACTATCACAAAGTCTGAATACTGGTGGTGCTAGTGTACATGCTGGTCTGCACATTTTCTATTATTGCCTAGCCTCATCTTAAGAAGGGATAGTACTCGCCACACATTAATGCTGCTGCAGAGTAGTGCTCCAAACTTTTGATCGACACCACCCTAATTAAATATAATGGTTAAATACAGTCCAAATTTTTTTTAAGATAGTGAGTAAAGCATCCCAAGAAATACCACTGAGTTAATTATTGGAAGATGGCATTCACAAGTAGTAAATAAATGAATCTCCTGTTATCCAGATAGAAGAAACAAAGTTTTTTTTAAATGATAAAAGTGTAAAAGTTCAATATTTAGCATAAAAAATGTATAATTTACCCAACATTTTTGTACACATGCAGTGCCTCCTTATGTTAAAGCAAGTCACTACCCTGACCCAGTGTCACCCTTGCCTCATTTGCATGAAATGAAAAAGCTCCTTCCTTTTGGGTTCCACTTTTTTCTCACGATTTAACTGCTGCTTCCTTTTTAGTTGTTTTCACCCATAATGACCTAAGCTGTGTGAACATGTATGCAAAAAGTGATCA